TAGTCTTAATGATGGTCTATCATTTTATGTTCTTACATTCAAATGGACCTCTACAAGTGATGCTGGAAGAGGAAGAGGGATACAATTAGTTTGGTTGAGCTACCTTGGGTTGGGCCTGGGGACAGCGTTGGGTTTGGGCATCCAACTGGAATGAATTAGGAAGCGAGCAGCGGGCGGCCCGATCTCAAGAGGCCAACCCAACTCTACCTGACTAAATAGTAGACGGTTTACAGATGTCAACAGCTGAGTGACTCAGTCCAGACCCTTTCTCCTCAAAGGTCGCCACGTTGCACGGGAAAACGTAAGCAATTGCGCACCAGTCCGTCTCCACGTGATTGTACGACCATTTCAAACCAGACAAAACCCTCATGTTGCCGCATATCCAACACGTGTCCGTCTCCTGTCGCGACAGGTGTCACATACACGTTGTATACAACTATACATTATTCTGGAGTGACACGTGTCGCATTGAGAAAACCCCGGTAAAAGATTGGGTAGGAACGCCAACTGCTGACGGTCTTATCCTATGCTTCTTCGTCGCTTGCTTCTCTGCTCCAGTCAAATACAAGCCATCCAAGGAAGGAAAAGAGAAAGGAAGATGGACCGAATCACGAAATTTAATTTCCCAAAAATTCAGAATCAAAGTATTAAATCCTCATTTGACCCGGAGTCTTTGCTCTTCGCTGGCCATCTGAATTAATTCTAACACAACTTCCCAAGATTGAAGATTGGAGAAGGGCTTTATTTATTTATAGCTCTAAATTTGGCAAAAGAGCAACCGAGAATTGAGTAAACACACACAATTTTTTTATGATCTGTTTGGGAACTACAGCGATTATAGAAACTAGAATTCTGGTGTTTCATGTGAAGAAGAGAAACAGCCATAGAAAACCAAAGCGGCTATTCATAGAAGAAGCGGAGGTCCAATCCCAATCCCAAACCCAATTCAAGTCATCATCTTCGTCGTCAGCATCATCAGCATTACTGCTGCTTCACACCAGAAGATCAAGCCTCAAACCGAAACACCACATGGCGACGGAGCGAGGCAACAATGCGTCGTCGTCTTTGATCTTAACTTCTGGGGCAAGCGGCCGCATAAACGCCTTGTTCTCGCTGCGGGCGTTGCGGAGTCTGATGATGCTGATTAACGCCTTCTTCCTGCTCCTCCTGCTTCCCTTCCGCGGCCGCAAGCGAACGGCGTCGTCTTCCTCGTCCTCCTCGTCTTCTTCGCCGTCGATCATTGCCTTGGCGGAGAAGTCGCCCAAGGAAGAGAGGCAGCAGAGGGGGCCGGTGGTGCGGGTGCCGACGGCGATTGTGCCCTGGAAGAGCAGCTCGTCATCGCCGGTGGACCAGGAGGTGGCGGCAAGGAGAGCTTTAGCCAAGCTTAGAGTTGTCCAAGATGATGATGAGAATTCGGTCAGGCAATTTTCGATTTTTGGAACTCCCAGAGGTGAAACCCTTTTCACGCAGAGTTGGACTCCCGTTTCGGTCAACGTCAGGTAATTTTGATTCTTTTCTTCTTCTTTAACAAGACTTTTTAGTTCCTGGAATTCAAATTTATGCACCCCAAAAAAAAAAAACACGAGTAATCTTAAGAATGAACATGCCCTGGAACTGGCCAATGCAGAAATGTACTTTATGGAATTGAAAGTTTAATTTCGTTTTTCTTCCCCTTTCACTCTTAAAATTTACTGCATATCGTTTCCTACGGAGGAATCTTTTTGGCAATTGTTTAATTAGGAGCTGCCAATCTTATTAATGTAGTTTAATGAATGAACAGATAGATCAAACTTAACATCTTTTTAGCTTATCTTCTTGATTGTATCGCCATTGTACTTTTAAATTTGAATCTTTCAAACTTGCAATCAACTTGAATGCTTTGTCAGTTTGTACTCACTATAATGTGTGCTCATAGTCATGGAGCTGTTCTTAATGGCTGTAATTCCAACTTCACACTTTCCTTTTAGTATATACAGGGCATATTCTAACATATAACCCCAACTAAGTATTATGCATACCATATCCACAAGGAATAAGGTAACCTCTAACCTGCAGCGATTGTTTTTGTAATTCCCTGTACCAGGACCATGCCTCGAGAATTGCAATATCCGAGTAAAGCCAGCAATCCTTTTGTGGCTTTTAAAAAATAAAATATCCCTTTTCATGAGGACCCTTCTCTTTCTTAAGGTCCCGTCTCTAATCTCATGTCCTTATGCCTGCACGATAAATGCAATGTTTACGCAATGCATCTGGATTTTCAGAAAATACACTTCTTGGTCATTTCCACTCTGGCTCTGCCCAGTGTTCTTGCCTTCCTTTATTTGGCATGTAATATGTCAAATCAACTACCAAATTTAGAGCCTACTGTATGACCTGACAAATGATGGGAATCTATGGCATAATGAGTTGGATTATATTGCAGGGACCATTTTGGGGCATTGTCTATTTTCAAGAAAACTATCAAGATAAGTTAGTTATAGTGCAACCAATTTTATAAAAATATAGGATGTGGGGAGGTGGGGAAAGGAGCTAGTCCTTTAATATTTCCTGGACAGGGGGGTGCGTTTGCTTCAGTGGTAGGACTAGTATGGTCTAAAAGTCAGTTAAATTCATAATGAATTGGTTGGACTTTGCACAACTTTCTGATGAATCATTTCATCTAAGGTTCATGACCACTTAGGAACTCTTGCTTGTTGACTATTCTTCTATTAGATATATTCAAGTAGAATGATAATGTCAGGAAACACCTGGGCAAGTGAGCTGTTCTTGATGGCAGATCCCCTAAGCAACACCTGGGTTTTATCAGAAGTTACTGTTGACTTCATAAACTTGTATAAATAACAGCAGCATCAGTTATAAAGAAATCATAATTCCTAACTTTACTTTGAACCCCTAGTAGATATAGTAAGTTGCGGAAAAAGATTCTGGATAGACAATTATCATTAATATCCGTACCTGTTAGGTTCCAAATTAAATATTGATATGGCTCATTGTTCACTGCCCTTGCTCTGCTAAACTTTGGCTGCCCTTGCTTAAAGATTAAATGACAATCCAGCATGGATGATTGGAGAACACTTTTCCGTATCTGTATTCATCTTCCATTCTATGCAGCCTTCCATGGGATTAGTTATTTAAAAAAGATCTGAAAGAGAATCTTATCTGTTCAGAAGTTTGAGAAGCTTGATTGACTGGGACAGCTGCCTTTAGTTTTTTGTTTTCTTTTGCCTGAAGGATGACCTTCAGTTAAGTCAGGTGTATTAAATATTTTAGTGATAGTCATGTGGGCATGTTTACAAAGTAAAGCGGTCCAAATTTATATCAAAATATGTTCGTGATTGCATCTTTTGTTCTTAGGTCTTATGGACCCTACCGTTAAGTGCATATTCATCTTTTTACAGAATTAAGTTGCTAAGCTAATATTTACACTTGCAGGGGCGTTGTCATTCTTATGCATGGCTTGAACGAACATAGGTTTGTCATTTGTGCATAATTCCCACTTAATTCTACTTTTAGTTGATTTTAAGATTAAATATATTAAGAGATTTATATAATTTGAACAGTGGCAGATACAGTGACTTTGCAAAGCAGCTGAATTCTAATGGCTTTAAGGTTTATGGAATGGATTGGATTGGTAAGTTCAAGACCATTTTGACTTTCTGATCATTGCATTTAACCTTCTTAACAAGTCTAATTGATCTGTATGTTCTTTCTCAAAGATGATACCTCAAGTCTAAGACAATTAATGCCAGTTTACTGTGTTGTCATTTTTAACTTGTATGCTCACAACCTTATCATACTTTCTGTTCCAGAATACCATTGGGGTTTTGCAAGTTACAAGCGAATGTGCATAGAGAGAACATGATTGTTAATTTGTATGAACTGTTGGTTTTCCTTTCATTTAAATTAAGCATTATTAGTTTTATCTTTAAGGCTGTGAAAAGTTTGGTCATAGAAATATTAAAGGCTGATGTCTCTAAGGACAACATTTTACAAGTCTTTCTGATCCAAGAGGGAGTTGGTGCAGTACAATTCTTGAACCTTACCATGGATGGCTTATTACTAAAATACTACAGCAATAAAGTTAAACTTTTAAACTATAGCAATCCTATCGTATTTACAATCTGTTAAACATCATTCAAAACATGTAATTTATATCCACGTTTGGTCAACTGGAAGCGCTCATTCCTCATGTCAACTATTTTTTTTCCTTCTTTGTAGTTGTGTATATATGCTGGAATGAGCACCGTTTTATTTTGTTTTTATCACATTCTTGTCATGTTCTGTGTCATCAAGATCAATCTTCTAGGCAAGCATTGTGAATGCTATACAAGAGATAGATCTACAATTAGAGCAATGCCTCAGCAGTTCCATTTTCCACTGTTAATTTACTGGGAAGGTCAATAATGAACCCGACCACATCAAAGTATCTCAAAATGGAGCTTCTCGATTGATCTAATTTGACCAATTATTTAACTCCATAGTCTCAATATTTCATCTAGTATGCCATGACTCTACCTTCCTTATCCAATCAAAGTATCTATGTACCCGATATCTGTCCCTCAGTTTACTTCTATCTTTTCTGTGGTACAAGAAGAACCTTAACTTTTTAGATGAGGGGTAAATTTTATCTCAAAAAATCTAAAATCTCATCCTTTTCTTAATTACTGTTTTCATAGTCTAGAGATCACCCTCTTCAACAATGCATATATATTTGGATGTTGCAGGGATTGAGTAAATTGGATGCCCATTGGTGCGAAAAAGTAACTTGTGAAGCTCCTGTTTATAAGTAAGCTTATTATTTGTGTGTTTGTGTCTAACCTTGTATGTTTCAAATTCAAAGAAAGAGAGATGCACGTTTTGGAAAATAAGCCAAAGTCTTAGAAACATCAGTTACACATCTGTTGTCTCTATCAGAGTGAAATTTTTTCAAACCTTATAGAAAGGTTTAAGCTGAACTTGTATTTAGGTACATCACACAGCCATCCAGTCGAAAGCGTGCAATCATGTATGACGAATTTTTCTGTTCACTTAAAATGCACTTGGAAACTTTCTTGTTTCAGGTGTGTAATGGGTTATATATTCTCTTTGGTTTTAGTCATGTCTGCTTCTTTTTTTTTAATATATTTTTTTATTTATAATTTTAACGTTCGAAAAAATAAAACTATTGTCTTTGTGTATTATTGTTCACCTAATTTGAACGGATCCTTCTTCTACCTTTTTGTCTTCTTGTTGATTTCATTGCACATTTGTGGTGCAAATTGATGGTCATATAGATAATAAATTAAGAGTTTGAAGGGTAAATCATAAACCTGTGGACTTACTACTTTCTTTGATACATTGCGCTACATCTTCCAAAGTATTAGTTCATTGTTTTCTTTCTTGTATAACTGTTCTCAGTGACTTTTCCATATAGGTCATGGTGGGAGTGAGGGGCTTCATGCATATGTTCCTTCTCTTGATTATGCTGTTACGGATATGGTATGTTTCAAGGCTCATTAACAATATCCTGATGAGAAAGTAGTTTTTAAATCCAGTTCTTAATGATGAGAAGGAACTTTGCTTTGATTAAATATTTACATGTGTTCTTTGAACTTTAATTTTATGCAGAAATCATTTCTTGAAAAGGTTTTAGCTGAAAATCCTGGCCTACCATGTTTCTGTTTTGGACATTCCACAGGTGCAGCTATTATACTTAAGGTATGGACTGCATGGAGTGATTTCTTTCCTGCAATTGCATGAATGACTTTCTGGTAGTCACTATTTTATCATCTTCTGTTTATTCACATTAAATCCATTGACCTGGAATTTAATCCGAACTTACACTATATTGGAAAACTGATTTTAGGCAATGCTTGACCCAAAAGTTGAGTCCAGCATAGAAGGTGTGGTGCTGACATCACCTGCAGTTGGGGTTCAGCCTTCGCATCCAATATTTGTGGTCAGAAAAACCTCTTCTATTATATCTAATATTTATGTACTTTTGAGCATAAAAACAATTACAAGTTTGCAAATGCATATCAAATTAGATTCAGTAAGTCAGGTCATCCCTCACCATGCTTACCTCCATCTATCATGCCAGGTAATTGCTCCAATTGCCTCATTTTTGCTTCCAAGATACCAGATAAGTGCAGCAAATAAAAAAGGCATGCCTGTTTCTCGTGACCCAGCGGCTCTAGTTGCCAAGTATTCAGACCCTCTAGTGTACACTGGATCAATCCGTGTGAGGACTGGTTATGAAATTCTCCGAATCACATCCTACTTGCAGCAGAATCTAAGCAAATTGAGAGTCCCCTTCTTGGTTCTCCATGGCACCGCTGATACTGTTACTGACCCTGAAGCCTCTCAGAAACTGTACAATGAAGCCTCCTCAACTGACAAAAGCATAAAATTGTTTGACGGGTTATTACATGACCTCCTCTTTGAGCCAGAACGAGATGCTATTGCCAAGGACATTATCGACTGGTTGAATCAGAGAATATGAAGCTAGGTAGTGCAGTGGGAGATTAAAGATTGATAATTTGTGGGACAGAAGGAAATTGGGTACGAGTGACCATTTTATGGATGCTAGATGCTTTGCATTGAAGCAGAAGATAGAAAATCTTATGTGGCGGAATAAATTCAGCTTATTGTGTTGAAACTTGAAACCTGACAATGTGTTCTTCAATATTTAAGACATTATCTGCAGTTGTAAAGGAGTGCCTCTTTAACAGTTTCTCTCTTCATTTTCCTTAGAAAGATGAGGTTGCTTGCTGGTCTGGAGCATTTTCCTATCATAATTGTTGGCTGGCAGACCAATGGCCGTGATCAGGTAATTGTTAAATGCTTGAGCTCCTTTATATCTTGTTTGAAATTGAAAGCTTTCCTATAATTGGAAGTGAAAAGTTGTTACTTTTTGGTCAATATCTTGAGATTGTGCACGATACAACTCTAGTTTCCCCATTCCCTTTGGTGTGGAATAAATTTTGAAAGACATGAACTCGTGCCAAAGCAGGTACATGATCCCACCATAGCTGCTTCGCTTCACTGATGATAAAGCATGATTGGGTTTCCTCAATCCAGAGTCAGAATTTTGTGTTGTTTTCTCTACCTAGTTTTAACGGGTGAAGCAAATTCGTGTATTTTCTAACTTTCAAGGGAGGTCACCGAACATTTTAGCTGCGGGTTATAATTATCATGTATTTGTCAAGGGGGTGAATGATTTATGCCCTCACAAACTCAAGAATTTTTTTCTTTTCTTTTCTTTTCTTCTCCGCTTCCAATTGTTTAGGGGAGGTTTTCAACTTTATCACACTGGGCCATATGTGAAGTTATCAACTTACACTGCCGCCCAAAAAACAAAAGAAAAGATTGGTTCTTATCTTGGTATCCAACCACTAAATGCGCACTGATTTTTGAGAATCTTAAAAGATTGGTTGTTCGCATCGCATCGACGTTTACCAAAAATAAGAAGAAAAGAAAAAACATAAGTCTAGGTGACTAGTCATCATTTACTTTACACCTAGAACGAACCAAAGTGTCAAATGGAGGAAACACCAATAATTGTGTAAATCATGCATAATGGGCAGATTGATTGAGATGGATGAACCTTCACACAGCCTGTTAGACTTTTGAATTAGTTGGTGAGGTGAAAGAAATGGAGGAACTAATATTAGTCTGAAGCTCAACTGAAGCATTGGTTATGTTATGTATGATGCTAAAAATTGAAAGCGAGCACAACATCAAATCAATAATTAAGTTGAAATATATCTCATCTCATGTTGCAAAGCATGCAGTAGGAGCAATACCAAGTGGGGGACCATGAAAATATTCGTAGCATAAATCACAAGTGCCAAAAGAGTTGTTAAATGGCTTGACGTTTTCAGCTTAAGGATTAGTTATGCCTGTGGTCAATAATTCAAAGTACATGTTCATTAGTGCCGGTTTTAAAAATAATATTTGTCGACGAGTCTAGCCCAATGGGATTTCAGGTTCGAACCCCGTGACATCTTGGTTGTGCTTGTGTATGTGAGAAACTCCCTCACCTGTTAGACAAGGGTCGCTTGTACTTTAAACTTATAGTTAAATTATAGCATATTAATTCAATACGTTTTGTTCTTCCTTTTTTAGATGAACCTGTCAAGAAATCAAGACTAGTTGCCTTGCTCAATTAGGGAAACAGACAAGAAGCTAACTGACATTGAGGTCGAAAGCCAGTACAAATAAATAGTAGCATACATGTATTTAATTAATTTTGTTATGAATAATTGATCAATTCATGGGTTGTTTCCTCTATGATCTATCACTAATCCATCTTTCCAGCATTTGATTATATATATATAATTAATCAGATTGTCACCATGATAAAAACCAACCAATCCTTTTCTGACAGATGCGATATATAAAAGAACAGATAGGTGGGTGGGTTGTGTACTAAATTATACAACTCCAATTCAACTCGAAAAGGCGAGGAATTGGGTAGTAGCCAGTAGGAGGACCATTCTCAGATTACAAAGGGTATATATATGGACTTGTTAATTAATTAGTTTTAATTAATACTATACTGAAACTGATTAGCTTGATCAATGACTATTAATTAGCATTAATTATTTGGACTCTTACGACAAACCAGTTTCCTTGGTTCTTTTTGTTTTGAGTGACAGCTCCCATCACTATTTATTCATTACATTACTAGCTTTTTCAATGGGTTTCGTTCAGTCAGTGTATTAAGAAGAAGAAACCTTCACAGATATCTTTTTTTCTTTTCTTTTTTCCCCAGATGATTTATTTTAGTAATAAACTAGTCAGATTGTGTAACTTATGTTGGCTCTTTTTCCGCCCATCCAATCATTCCTTTTCATATATTCAAAGTCATCGATTCAAATACTCAAGGCCATGAAATTATTATTAGCAGTGTATTTTTATTATGTAGTTGGAGCTAGCTTGACCTAGAATTAATCATGTAAATTTGCAGCAATCAGAGTCTAATTTCGTCGCCAACCACATAGACATAGCTAGCACAGGCCACCAAGATGGCCCTGACTCTTTGAAACAGAGTCTGAATTTAAGTTCTCAGCCAAGTTATGCATAAATCCTATTAATTACACGATGCAACAACTTTTTTGAGTGGGTTAAGCATTATAAGATCAACCTTTTTTCAGTCGTTAATTGTGCATGATTCTGATGATACGTTTTTTATGGGATACCTAATTTTTAATATAAATTCACACACACACATATATATATATATTACTGCGATTTCATTCATATTCAAAGTAACCAACAATTAGACAATGCATATATATAAGGGAGTTTCACTAAAACACCCAAAATGAGGGTTGAAATTATAAAAAAACCCAAGCACTATTTAAAGATATAAACACACCCAAAACCCATCATTACACACACTCAAAACCCATTTATAAACATACCCAAAAAGTTGACTTTGGGGTTGATTTTGGGTGTGTTCCTATGTTTAAATAGTGCTTGAGTTTTTTTATAAATACATGTCTAGAATTGGGTTTATTTATAAATTTGTATAATGTATGGAGATTTTTTAATAAGTATTTTATGTTAAGAATTGGTTATATACTTCTAATCTAAGGCGTTGGATTGCATTCATGAAATGTGTTAATAGTTTCTTAGATGTAATCCAATGACTGAGATTAGAAATATGTACCTAATTCTTAATTTAAATACTTATTGAATTATATGTATATATATATATATATGTGGTTATGAGGAGTTCATATATAAATATATGTATTAATAATAAATTGCTCAAGTATTAGGGCCAACCATCAACAAACAAACAGAAACACACAGAAAAATGAATTAAAAATTGAGCACCCATGGCATGTGAATTTATATATGAGACAGAGAGTGAAACACATGTTTTAGGAATTTTTGGGTATTTTTTTCTCTTGTTATTTTGGCTCATTGAGAGAGTAAACTCAATTAATTAGTTAATCCTATACCTCCCATAAATGAATTAATCCCCATTAAAATATTGTGTCTGACTTGCATCATCACCTTCGTCACTCAGCCCTTATTATTATGTTTCCGTCCTGCCAAAATTGCCAAAAGGGATCTTTTTACACTTTTGTTTTTCTTTGCAAGGGAGGGTTTGCGGGTCACATTCCCTTTCCACTACTCAGAATCAGTCGTGTAATGCAATTCTTCATCCTAGCTAAGCTTTGCTATGCTATTTAATTCATACAGAACCATCCCCATGCAAGCCAAGCAAGTAAACAGAACTCACTCACTCTCTCTCTCTCTCTCTCTCTCGCTCTCAAGTTAATAATGGCTATGTATCTAATGAACTGATTATATTAAGATATAGTAATATGAATACATGTGTGTTCATTATGATTCAAGGTCATTTGGTGTAGATTAATGGGGAGCAACAATTTCATCGCGGATATTAATCCAGATTCCATGGAGATGGAGACCATGATGGAAAGTCGACCAAGTGATAATATCAATATCTCCAAGAAAAATTCCACTGCTCCTCAAAGTATATATCATCAGTATGCCCCAATCCATTGAACACAAGCTCACTTAAGCTACCTAGCTAGTTTCTCACTTATTATATATATTTTGAATTGAATGTTATCTTTGTACGTAGTGTAATATGATGATGTTATATAATTGTTTATCAATGGATGGATGGATGGATGCAGGATCTTCGCCGGTTCCTGGAATGTTGGAGGTGTTTCACCTCCCGAGGTTTTGGACATACAAGAGTGGCTCAGACCCAATCATATTTACCCTCCTGCTAATATCTACGTTCTTGGGTAATTCAATCATTCCCTCTATAAATATGATATATCTCTAGTTAAATATTGTTTGTTTTAATCGTGCATGTCTGCAACAACGTGCAAGTGTTCAAGTTTGATTCATATAGATAGATAGATATAGCCGTATGAATCTGATCATTCTGAACGAATTACTCAATCTCAGGTTTCAAGAGATTGTGCCACTGAATGCAGCAAATATTGTTGTAAGATCTGAAAACCGCAAGATTTGCGAGAAATGGAATTCATTGATTAGGGCAGCTCTTAATGACCCTGACCCTAAGAATAATATTACACAAGACTTCCGATGCATCATTAGTAAGCAAGTGGTCGGAATATTGTTATCTGTTTGGGTTAGGAGTGATCTCTGCCAATACATTAGACAGCTCAGTGTCTCATGTGTTGGCTGTGGTCTCATGGGTTGCCTAGGGAACAAGGTATATAATATCCATTGAATATTGGAACATGGAATTTAGAATGAATTAGCTCACTTCATTTATTTTTATTTTCATAATTTAATTTAGTTTATGTTATAGGCTTTACTTGATGATGACTTTTTGGTACATACATGCAGGGTTCGGTGTCAGTTAGATTTTGGCTGCATGAAACAAGCTTTTGCTTTGTGTGTAGTCATCTTGCTTCCGGAGGAAAAGAAGGTGATCAACGACGCAGAAACGCAAACGCAGCTGAGATTTTATCTCGCACAACCTTTCCTCCCGGGCCCTTCCCTAATTTCACCACTAAAATTCTTGATCACGAGTGTGTATATACAATTTTTGTTTCTTGATTGATATTTTCAGCTCTTCCTCAATTTATTTTTTCAAACCTTGGTCAGTTCGAAAGAAAAGAGTCGATAAAATAAATGAGAAAAACAATAAGTTCCAGTATTTTTCTAAGTTTTAAGAGATGTTGATACCCTTGTTCGTGAACTTCTTGTTTGAGAACGCTTTTTGATTGTGGAATATATATATTTGGAGTAATATCATATCTAATTAAGTCACTGAATAATATATGCATATGCAGTAGGGTGATCTGGCTTGGAGACTTGAACTATAGAATCTACTTGCCTGACGCCACAACGCAGTATCTTGTGGAGAAGCAAAAGTGGAACCTTTTGTTGGAATATGATCAGGTACTTTGCAATATCCGAACGTGTAAAGAGATTCTGTCACTGTGAAACTAGCTGCTATGATCAACGTGTAAAAAGAAAAAACTTACCTTTTTTTCTTTTTAATGTTTAATCTCTAATCACTGTCTTTTAAAGCTAAAGGTGGAGCTAATGGAAGGACATGTATTCGAAGGTTGGCATGAAGGAGTAATCAACTTCGCCCCTAGCTACAAATATTACAAGAATTCGGAACTCTACTTTGGCTGCGATGAGAAGAGAAAACACAATAAAAGGCGTGCTCCAGCATGGTAAGCATCCTGAACTGCTTGAAATTGATAAGGACTGCTACAAATCTTATCCCAGA